TCTAAGACGAAATGCGGTGCATCGGGAACCAAGTCGAATAAAATGTTAATAATGGAGTCTTCGGACATAACATTTATGGAAGTCCAGATTTATTTTATTGCCTTACTTTATGACATCAAAATCCTGACATTTTTAAAATATTATTTACTACCTTCCCAATTCATAAAATCAATTCGGAACTGTGTAGCGCCATAAAATCGGGAGCCCTTAATTTATGAAACTGTCAAAAAGGTACAGTACTCAAGGAGAGCAATGACGGTGTCGTAAAAACTGCTTACGCTCTCACCCCCTGCCGCACGGTAGTGTCACTTTTATTGCCCGGAAAGTTCCGTATTTAGTAAACTGACCCAACGGGGGGGCTTGGTCAGCCTCATCCCCCATAAATATGCCGATTTATTAGGGTCCAACACTAAAAATTTGTCATGTTTACGAGCGGGTCGAAAGTTCACAGGAAATATTCCAAAATTACCGACTTGGATGACCATTGTTTCGAATATCGGCAACGACAAATAACATAAAATTTGTTACGGCCTGATTTACGGCTCGATGCGCGCTATGCGGGCGTCCCTGCAGCCGAAACGGCATTTTTCTAGATTTAGAAGAGGCAAAGGGGTGACCTTTCCAAAATATAGGAACAATACACAACGCACAATTTAAAATATCAAAAATAGTTCATTCTGATGAGCGCATAACCGGTTATTGTCGTGAGAATTTTTTAGCACTTGGATTGCAGATGACAGCAAACTTCTAACTGATAATAATCTCTTGTAACGTCCGAGGGCGCTTAAAGTCTATATAATATCGAAATACTTCATCTGTACCTCATTGTTGTGAAAAGTAAAAGTGTCAGGGGCCAAAATGTGTTGTACCTGGTTGCATTTTTGACCATTGTGTGATCTTTATCGTACTTTTATATTATTATGCAACACGATTTAAATCTGGCGTCAAAAATTTAAGCAATGAACTAAATACAATGAAAAAACGAATATGACGCTAGCAGGAACACACCTCGAGACAGGCGTTAATAAAATAAGTGCCGGGGTCTATATTTAGCTCCGTGCTGATTATTTTATGTATAAGTGATCCCACAAACCAAGTCGTAAGTGCGTCAGCACGTTTACATGCAGCCGATACCTTTTCAAGCTTAAATCTTGCCCCGCAAAGGAGAATCAATAAAACCGTCCAGACTATTTGATTTTCCCCATAGCTCGACAGACCAAACCGTGGATTTATGAAATTTGCCTCCTTCTAAATTGCATTTCCGCGATCTTCCCAGGACCAAGTCAGTTTTCCTATCGCATCAGCCTTTGTCCATGTATCAGAATCGAATAAAATATGGGTTTAATATAAAAAGGTGTATTTCCTGTGCACGAACTATTACTGTCACATGCAGTGCATTCGGTACGAAACGGCGGAAATTTGTTTCAGTGGTGAATGTAGGCACTTAGGGCGCCCGCTTGGACTGATAAATGTGCGGTCCTCGAACCGAATCCGATATAGAAAACCGCGAATTGATTGTATTTGATCTCATTTTTCATCGGGGTCCGTATTTAAAGCCCGGATTACGATTTATTAGGACGTTTTTATATCAGCGACTGGAGTCAGGTACAGTCACGAGACTATTACGGCTCTGTTATCATCAGGAAAGGCCGCGGAATTGGATGGAGTCTTCTTTTCCGCTGAATTGTAAACCTCAAGCAGGGCTGGCTTCGGCCGATCTGATCAAAGCGCGCTTTACGACCGGATAAACACTGGACTCTTCAAGAAGAAACGTAAGTGGATGGTAACTCGGAATCCTGGTTTTAGTTCCGGATAATCAGTTTTGGCCACACCTTATAATGGCTTCGAGTTTAAAAGATTCAACAAATTAATACATGGATCGATTTATGTAATTGTTACTAAGCGAGAGAGAAGCTCAAATTGTACAAAATATAGGTGTCAACTAACTAATAGTTCAGGAAGCGATCCAATCCCCAGAAGCTCGATTTGACAAAAAACTGTACTTGTGATTCATGAATCCGCCTCGATTTTGTTATGAAGGACCCTCTAATACTTTGATCACAAAATTTCGGTATGGAAATCTAAACCTACGCTTGCGTATTATAACGTCTACTGTTGTCTCGTGACGTAAAGTTGTAGTAGTGGGCAGTTACTGGAGCCGACCCTGCTCTTAGAACCGCGGATCGAATTCGTGTTCATGATTTCAGCGGCGCACTCTTAATGGCATTTTTAGGTCACGTACGGTGCACCGAACCGAATACCCTAGGGCTGTAAAATGCAGGTACAATGCAATTTATGGACTTAATAACGAAACTCTAACCCCTGTATACGGTTCGTGTGCCAGCTTCGAGTGTGACAGTTGGATATTAGCTGCTCGCAAGTTGGGTGTCTCAATTCTTGGTGGTCTGGCTTACAAATAGCAAACAATAGTGAGAACGCTGAAACGGTCCATAAATTTAGCGTTGTGCGAGTTACTCTGTTTTCATTTTTTGACTAGGGTGACTAGAGTCTAAATTAGGCTCTTTGATGGATGGTGATGATGATTCACAAATAACGATCTTAACGTGCAAGCGGACATCAGTTAATTTCCCCATTGTTGTTCTAGTTTCCCATATGTTCAGTTCCAAACTGTCACATCTGCAGCAAGTGCCTGGTAATGAGGCTATTTATCATTATTGACATGTTTTGACTGAGTTGTGTTTATACATGCTGCTGTTGCCATTTTCAAAACATACAATGACACTTAAAGGGATTTATGTATTGTTTTTGAGGCACTTAAGTCCTGGTTGATTTATGTGGTTCAAGTAGGTGATAGACGAAATGAATTTGGGCATTTCCATTGGTGTCAAGGGTTCACATTTTCACGTGATAAAAAGATAAGAAATCGGTGGCCCAGAAATTCAACTTGTAACAATATCCAATAATCATTATGACGTAGCGGTTAGGCCACAACATTTTCTGGTATGCCGATAAAAATCTCTTAATTGACTACCAGTAGAAACATGGACAGATCACATCTATTGATTATTTATTACAATGAATTAATTGCGAAATTTCATTAACCAATTAAAGAGAAAACATGTTCGGAGCTGCCATTCCGTACTTATATTAGATTGACAGAATATTTTATCCGTGTATAGCAACTGGAGGCTCCAGATGGGAGTCGATTGCAGCAGGTAGTCACATGGACGTTACTAGTGCCTGATGAAATGAGGAACTGTCAATCAATTTCCTTCTGAGAAAACAAAACAGTATGTGCAGCTCCGGTAATGCAATTCTTTAACGAAGATAAAAACGTCACAACAAGAAAGACAAGCGGTGAGGCAATCTTAGGTTGTTATTAGATACAGCTACTAATTTATTAACCTCCACCTAACAATCTCTGATATGCGTTGGATCAAGCGGGGCAAAAACCTTGAAGATAAGGTATCGTATGAAATAACATGGTAGTAAGTTGGACTTGGGGCATCTTTGACGCCGTCATGCATTCTTGTTAAAGTGTAAGTGGCAATGATTGTGGCCTCAGTTCTTAGCGGAAAGATATTCAAATGCGTCTCCTTCCAGATGCACTCTGCGACTCACATATTACCAGATTCCGCTTTTAAGTTTCATAACAGCTCTCGACTTCGACAAAGAGCCAAAGTTAAATTGTGGTGATATTTACAAGAAGCAGAATCAGGAAGCGGCAACTTAATCAACTTTTCGGGATTTAAATGCGATACGTTTCCGCCAGCACAACACCAGACAAAGACGGTGTTAAGCTTGTCGTTGTTTTTAGTGTTTGCGAGTAAATGAAATATCCGACAAAGAGCCGATAGCGTTTTATCGAAAACAGATGGTGTTAAATGAACTTATCCTCGAGCAAATGAAATTATAAGGTGCAGGCACAATTACAGTGTTACTTAAGCGGTTCCGTCGCTACTGCGAAAAGATCGAATCGATAATGGCGACGATTGTTTCCCAAAGTATAGACTTGTCGAACGCTCTAAATAGAGACCTACTAATCTGCCCATTTATCTAATTGAGGAAGCCACGAGCTACCATCGAAGGACCGTTATGTATGACGATCGAACGCTTTCTTGCGCGAATCAAAGAAATTAATGAATATTGAGCTCGAGCAACGAGAAAAAGTTAATAGACAAACAGGTGTAAAATACGTGGAGCGTGAAAATCGAGCATTTCGGCGGATTTAAATTCCTCGGACCAAGGGAGGAAGAAATATAACAAAAACAAAACCGGCAAGACTCGTATAAAACATCACGTTCCGAGACGGGAAAAATCATTACTGGACTCAACAGAGGTGAAAATTACGTTCTTCGTGAACGCTGCCAAATGCCCGCAGCGCACTTTACAACCCGAAATTTTGGTGTGCGCTCATGGTGGAAGCCGAAGTTTTTATGGGTTACAAACACTTCAACATAAAACTCAACCCGGCGAAAGAAAAAATATTAAGCGCAACTACACCATTTCACAGCTTGTGAAAAAAATCTGTGGGTTAATTTAGGGAAACGCAACTTCACTCGTAGAGGCCGAACCTCACGGGACGCGAGTGACGCAGAATCCAATCCGGACGGTCGGTGTCATAACCTCAAAACATATTTTCACTTCCGGAATATCAAGGGATATCATCTCATGAAAAAGTTTAAGCAGTAACTGAACTCATTATTTTAGGGTAATCCGATGAAGAATGACATTGATGCCTAAAATAATGGTGTTCCATATAGATCTTTTTTCTACGGCTATAGTTCCGGTTCTGAAATAGCGAACAATGACAGAAAATATAAAGACCATCATTAGTACTAAACAGTCAACTTTTGCAACTTGCTGTACATCGCCATAATGATGTCAGTTCCAGACCGCATTGAAATTTTATTGAATATAAAACCAATCAGGAGCTTGCTGTTTTAGTGCAGAAGACAATAAAATTAACGTTTATATGTCGGTTTATGTGGCGGTGTGCTTTTAGAAAAAAGAGACCGTGTTTTTTTGGCGGTACTTACCATGAAGCAATCAGGTCCCTGCAGACACATGGACTCCCCGTTAGGGCCGTCGTTGGAGAACTGCAAAGAAAGCCGGAATTAATATTAATGTTTGGATTTGGACGCGGAGATTAAAAACTTCATTAAAATTTGCATTTCAATAACATGGTGGAGTTCGTAAATCCGCTGCCACCAACACAATGGTCCGCCTCCGGCTCTCGGTGCGCCGTTTTCAAAGAGCCACACATGCACGAAAACTAAAATTGAATTCTCGTAAATGAAGTCAGCCGCAAAAAAGCCCAAAAACCTTGTCCCATAAATATTTTATTGCGAGCTAAATATGTAATTAGCGTCTCATAGCGCGCTGTTGTGATCGGATAAGAGCTGGAGCGCGGATTATCCAGATACCGATCTAAATGGTTTGAGATGCGCTGGGAGAAATCGTGATTACACCCAGAATTTGGAATCCCTGTTCACTAAGCCAGCTTATACAAGCTTAGAACGAACTAGAGGGATTGTTTTGCTTGCCTAACACGAAACGTAATACCGAACAAACAACGAGTTTCACGTATTCTTCCGAGAAGGTATTTTAAAAATTTCTCGTGTTCCAATAAAACACAAAACGTATAAAGGAATTTGACTACGACTACGAAAAAATTCTCGTTCGATCTGCTCGGAGACCGGTGATGCTCACCTAGAGGTTTGGAAGCGCACACATTTCTGCTCTTCCGACGTTCCATAAATATTCAGACGCTATAATAATGCCTTAAATATTCATTAGTTATTATAAACACGTCACATAAATAATTAAACATTTACTGAAAACTGCGTGACGATGGTGTAATTAAGTGCGAGCGGGGGACGACTCTATAGATTATAAAAACGACCATTACTATCAGCACACCCAAAGACACCAACGCGGCTGGCCCACAAAATCCAATACGGACCTGACGACACTCACGGAATAATATTGACTTTAATCCCGACAAACTCAAATATTTCTTATTCAGAGGGATCCGGGCGAAAATTACAATTTCATTCCGAGGGTAGGAAATCTACATAGGCACGAAAAATCGACCAGAACAAGAGACTCCTCAAATTCGATTTATCCACCTGAGAAAAATTAACCAACTGCACTGAGGGCTTCACAGATGTACTTTCTCGGTGAGAAGGCAGGACTTCTTTCACACTACAGTGACTCCTTAATGAGCGTCTTAAGCCTCACACTAATTAAAAATATAAATTACTATAAGAATATCTGTGAAAGCATGTTCTTTATGTAAAGCTTCAAGGAAATCCCATCAAAGAAAGTTTTTAAAAAGATGTTTAAGTATGACGTTCCAAATGCAAAATGCGCTTGCATATTTTTCCATACAAAAATAAAAAAGTTTTGAAGTCTTGTTACGTTTACGTGCATGAGTTAATACGCATCATTCTGTTCCGATTTGATGCAGCTGAAGAACCAAACTTTTTTTTAAGTTAACGTTGAAAATTAATAATCGGCGAGAAGGAACAACCAAAAAAACAAAACGCAGGAACCTTTTGAGTGGGCCATTCCCACATAGAACACTATAGAGATCGCTCACTCCTTTGGCATCAAGCTAATTATATTGCAGAATCCTATTCATGGCAAATAAAGGACATTAACAACGCTCCTATTGCCGAGATCTTTGTATAATTAAAAACACTTATCTGTGTGGTGCAGCTGCCTATCCGTCGTTGATTTAAATTTCCGCATTTTTAATGGGTAAGGCTTGGGTAAAATTATGGTCTATAAATTACCCGCCACCGTAATACGGATCTAACCCCAAACATAATGCGGACACAAAGAGGACTTTATTGCTGTATCTAAAGATCCTGCCCGTAAACAACCAATCCATTTTTACATTTAAAACCTAATCTTGTACTTTGTGTGTTTATTGCTAGAACGGAATTACTCAATAAAATCGAATAGAAATCCGCATTCATGTTCTAGCAGAAGCAAACGACTGATTTATCGTCGTTACTAAAATACAAATTCAAATAAATCACCGTATAAAAAACAGCAATCGAGAAGTTCCGTCGGCAATAATTCCCTTACAGATACTGATGCATATTGGGGCCTAAAAACAATACAGCGCTATCTGATTGGCATTATTCCACCAAATAGCTCCCCAAAATAATGATCTTTAGTCTCTCGTTAGTGTGTCATCGCTATGGATTCTTCCCGGGTCGGGTCGCTCCATCTCCTGCTGTAAAAAATATTTGGCGGCGTCGTAAACGCACCCTTTTTATGAGGTATGGGGACTTCAATTTTCTCCGGTGACAGGGGCGGATTAAGGGCTCAGCGGCCTCACGCAAAATATGTGTCACGATAGCTGCTTGACGTTGACAGAGTTAATGTGCGTGCTAACGAACCCCAGACAAACGCAAACCAAGAACTCAAAGCTTAATTGCGCCAAGAAACAAGCACTACTATCGACCATTTCTACTTCTATTTATATAGATTAAGCCAATATAATGATGTTGTCATCCAGGTTTTTCTTCCCTCTACGTCCACACATTTTGTTCTTAGACATACCATGACAGTTTTTGGCAGCGATCAACACAATATTTTCCACCACTCCAAAACTAACCGCAAATTGGTCAACTTTCATCTTCAAAATTGGTCTGTAGTAGTCCTTCGAGCCGGATTTGTATCAGAAGTCCACATCAGAAAATAAGATAAAAACCTATTTTATGTGACAAGTACGATACGAGCCAGCAAAATTAAGCATCTCTGGGGCTCAAATGTAAGAATGGAAAGCGCGGATCATCGTAAGTAAACTAAATTTTGCAACGATTCAGTTCGGTGCAGTATAGGTGTGGCTACTATTATTTACAACTGACGCTTTTGCCTTGTCACTGACGTGGTTCTCAAAGATCGGGCGTGCTATCGCAGGAGTGCGTTTCAGTCCGGGTCTGTCGGCGGCCGATTTTCCTTTTTTCCTGCAAGGGTCCGCAGTAAGGCGTGCGGCAATCGAATTCGAGTCGGAAAGTCACGATTCGTAGTGACTCTCCCCATTATAATTAAACATGTCTGTAAGTTTAATCAGTGCGAGCGAGGAGAAGTGTCGTCATCCTTTTCGTCGTGGTTGGTACGTCGAAGGTGTTTGTTAGCTGAACCATTAAGGCGATGGTTGCATGCCCACCATGACCATCTACGATCATACGCGCCGTGTCATTGTCGTGAGAAGAGGTTTTAATTGTTTTTAGTGGCTCGGTCGGCGCATAATTACACACACCGACTCCGAGTTTAAAAATCTATATCACGTTCCGGGGTTGTCGCATACATATGGAAGTTATGCGGGACGCTATTTATTCACTACGATTATCTGGTATTGTACTGTAAGAATGCGCAGATGCATCGAACGGCAACGTAATTGAATTATTTATTTGTCCATTTAAATTACCTATAGAAGTGCTGGATCTTCCGTGGAATGTTCTGTGTATGTAGTTGACGCAACAGTTTATCGCAACATAATAACACCGTACTACCGCTGACATTTGAACAAAATGTCTGCAAAATCTCATGGGGATATCTTGAAAGAACATTTTCAAACGGAAACTAAAACTCCATTCTTCATATGCAAAATGCACGCGTTACCTCATAGCCACAGGAACTTTCACAAATATGCAAACTAATGTGCTTTAAATCTTCGTGTTAATGGATGCCGCTATTGATTTACACAAAGGCACCGCCACCATCAAATGGAAAAAAACAACTTTTTGCAACATAAAATTGGAATAATGATTTAAATGTGACGATAACGACAATCCCACTCACTTCATCGCAATTACAATTAATTTTATTGGCTAATTTTCTCCCGGCTTTGTGCATCAAAACCGCTAAGATTTTAACTGTAAAGTAATAAATTAGCTCTTTATGAGCTATATATTTTTACAATCGCAACTTTCATAAAATCTTTACGTTTCCCTTCGGACGCTGTTTTCAACTGTCGATGCTGATAACAACGAAAAACCGCACTAAATTCAATCAATTCAATCAAACAATGCCGGCATTTCGCTCTTACGTAACAATGTAGTTATAGATAGTTTTCAATTAATAAATAACTTTGTTACGAATGTAGTCATAAATATGAAATATGAAACCTGTCCGCACAAAAACCGCAACTTTTTTAGAGTCGCGGTAATTCGACATGTCAGCAAAATTTAGAACAATAACTCATCCATTTTATATTAATGGCTATCGATTTGCTATTATTAACCCAAATTTCTGAAGTTGTAACAAAATGATATTTAAATAATGTATTTAAAACCAATACTTTGATACAAATGGACGCAATTTAGTATCAACTATCAACGGCATCAAAAAGCCATTACTAAACTTTTATCTAAATCGCTGTAAACAATAGGTGCTATTACGTTGCACTATAACCGAAAGTGGGTGTAAAACGCACTTATAACAACACAATTTGATCAGTCAAAGACCGTGTGTGGTGAATAATTTTATGTCGTCAGCGTCAACATCAATAGGAGAAATAACAACGGTCCAAGATTAGATCCCTGTGGTACTCCAGAAATCGGTGAGTCGAAATAGAGGGTACACAATGATAATATTTATTATATACTTGGTGCTACAGAGCTTTCGGGACTGCATTAATCCAAAATAAATTCCACTGCATCAAAATCGCTTGAGCCCCTATCGCCCCAATCTCATCCGCGCCCCGATAAAGCTCCGCCGGGCGAATAGCCCGATTTGATTACCGAACGATGAGCCCCCAATACAGATTTCGGGAGGGCTGCAGTCCCACGGCAAGGCCGGTGTGCGATTTTTGCGTTCCTGCCAAAATATCGTCATCAATCAGGCTGCGAATATCCGCGAGCTGCTGTTGGAAGTTTGGGGTGTCTCGGTTAAGGGTCTCCCTCCAGTTTCTTTGTACGAGGGTAACTGACCGTGATGCTCTTAATTCGGTTTAACGTCATGACTCACCTATGGATCCGACGACGACAAAAGAACTGTTGGCCTAGTGCCAGTTTAATATATCTGTTGAAAACGTGCGCCATGTGTATGCATGCACGAGGGTAAACAATCTCCGCAA